TGATAGCACAAACCTGTTGCGTCATAGAGACAGGCATGGTAGCCTCCATCAGTTAGCTTTTTCTATTTGTATCTTCTGTTCGACTTTGCCAGTTGCTTGGTAGATGATTGAAGCACGACGGCAAAAGAACTTCGTTTCTGTACATTTTGTTTCATCAGCTCCCAAGAATGGTTACGAAAATCGAACTGACAGTGTACCTTATTACAGGCAATTTTTTATCACAAGCATGCATCAAAATTTGCATTAAAATTATGAAGATTCGGAAAAAGAAACCACCCGGACGCTCAATCACTTTCTCTTCACCCCAACGTCCCGTCCATACACCACACGTATTTGAACACAACCTTATGAGAAGTCAGAAAAGTTCAGAGCATGTTTTCTCTCATCAAAGCTAGAGCGATGCCAAAACAGCGAGGGTTCCTACTCCAACTCATTCCAATCACCACCATACAGCGTCATGCAAACCCAAAGCTTCAATCAGCTGAAAGAAACAAGCCATGTCCGTTGCGACGACAGCAAGGCTTGCATGAAAGAAGGCCACGAAGAAAGAGGAATTCATTCCCACGAAGTGCAACACCCACGACTCTATTACCTCCGTCTTCTTGCAGCTAAACCCTTTGTGCGGACAACTTCTGGCAACGAGTCTTGACAGACGCTCAAACATTCGTTACACTCATTACACTGCCTTTAATCAACTCCTCTCCACTCCACAATCGCAATAAAACACCAAAGGACTGAAAGATGGAACAACAACAACGACAATGCAATGACTGACTGACTGACTGACAGACTAACGATGCTAGTAGTTCTTCCTCATGTGACCACCATGCACCAGCCACCCCAAGAAAGAGAGCGATCGATCGAGACCAGCCAGGAAGGAAGGAGGGGGAACTCGGGATGTGTTCGTTCAGTTCCGTTGGAGGGTTACCCACCTTTTCAAGGTCTGCTGAACAGCCCCTTTCTCGCAATCACCGATGATTGCGATGATTCCACGCGAATACTTCCTCATCACCACACACTGCAAAACACACCCAAGTGGCCATAAGATTGAGAAGAGAAGACTGACAAGACGATGATGCCAGCATCCCCCCCCCCGCGCAGTCATGGGGGCCGAAGCAAACCACTCGGGAGCTCATTACCGCTGGCGTTGTTTCCATGTGACGGTCATGGGTGACCAATTATTTTATTTTATTTTATATTTGTTGGATAGATGTGCAGTTTTTTTGTCAATTTTTGGGTTGCCCCTGACGTGGAATTGAGGTTTGGTGTCAAGTGCTATTGTATGTATGACATGAGAGAAGGAAGAGGAATATGATTTAGTTCTTGATTGAGTTTTTTTCGGGATCTTGACAAGTTAAGTGATAAAAGTGCGTTAGTGAATTGACTATTGGATGTTGGATGTGATAAATTGTAGATATAGTGGAAGTAAAAGAAATTGGTAGAAGTTTTTATTTTTATATGATTGGAGACATGTACAAAGTTAGCAAGGGTTAGTAGAATGTAGAAATTTATGCAATACTAGATATGATAGTTATTTATTTTTTCTATTTCTTCTTCTGATAGTTGAGTTTTGTTGTAAAGGGCCTTATAGTTGTCATGTATATTTAGTTATTAAAACTGAATGTTATAAATAAAAATCAAATAGAATTTACTTTTGTAGGTGATAACATTTAAAATCACTATATATTGTAGAAAGCAATTACAAAAAAAAAATTGACATTACTAACAAAGTGGGTTTTTTTTACTTATTTCTGCTTCATGCATAGTGGTCTTTGCATATCACATCTACAACATCATATTGTCAATTAAAAAAACTTCAATATCTCTTATTAGAATCATTCTTTATTGACAATACTTTTAAGTGGTTTGTTGATAGACATCCACTTTCAATTTTATTGTTTTAAAAATATAATTATTCTTTTTATGTTAAAGAAGGCAAAAAATCTGATGTAAACTTTGTAATTTATCTATTTTAAAATTTTAAATTAAATAATACATAATTTATAATTTTATTTAAACAAAAAAGAGAATTGGTACAATGATTAGGGTTTTTACTAAATTGATTGAGTTTTGGTCACAATATCTTATTAAGTACCACATAATTTTAACACATAATCTTTTTTTGTTACATAAGAACAAAAATGTGTTTATAAATATTATTGATATGCATTAAAACTAGTCAAAGTATTAAAACTAATTAATATAACATATTTTTAAATTGATATGTGTACACAATATCTTACTTTGTGTTAAAATTATGTGTATACATATCAATTTAAAAAAAAGATTATATGTTAAAATTATGTGGTGCACAATAAGATATTGGACCAAAACCCAATCACTTTAGAAAAAATCCATGTCAAGATATCAATAATCCCTAAAAAATTTATTTATTTTAAAAAATATAAAAATTGAATGATGAATTCAATTGATTGTAATTTAAAAAATAATAAAATTTTTTTACTAAGCTATAAAAATAATAATCTATATAGCATAAATTGCATACATATTTTAATAATGCATTAACACAAATTGAAATTAAAAACTTAACTGTTGAAATTGCAATCAAGTTTGTGGCATATGTTTCCATGATGTAATTTATATTTCATACAAATGAATTCCAATTTCAATTATATTTGTAACATAATAATAATTATTGTATCATGTCATAAAAATTATCGTATTTATACAACTTTTGTACACAGACAACAATAACAATAAAACAAATGTATACAAGTATTTTGTTGCAATGACTTATTTTTAGATGCAAATAAGATAAGAAATTTGAAATAGCTTTATTAATTTTTTTCCTATTGAAGTATTGGAAAACTTATACAACATAAACAACAAGTTGTTTTTATATTGCATTCAATTACATTATATAAGTTTAATATAATTCTTCATTTTGTTGTGTATTTGTTTCTATTATCATGCTTTGCCCTTGGTTTTGTATTTAATTGCAAACTAATATTAAAATATCCTTCTTAAAAAGAACCTTCTACACAACTAATTTAAATTTACAAAATTTTTTATATGTTAATTGATGTGTATTTATTTTACATATATTATCATGAATATATTAATTTTTTTATTTTGGCATTTAATGTTTGAGATTACATGCCACATTTTTTTTTTAAAAAGAACAAATTATTTTTTTATGCAATAATAAGGTAAAACTTTAAGGGGTGCACAATGCATTCTATTTTGATAGATCTTATAGTTCTCATAATAAGGATTTTATGGATGATGTAATGTCTTTAAAAAAAATTACATGTCTTGTATAAATGTGCACAAATTACTAGGTTTTATCTATATTAGAGATGCATCAAACAATGAATCTAATAACAATCTAAGTTCACTTTAAAATCTCAATCATAGTCGTGCTTTGCTTCAAATTTTAAAGTACAAGATTTTCAAAACTTTACATTCTAAGTTATAATACTAATAACATTTATGAAACTTTTGGTTAAATTTCTTTTTTATTAAAGATAAATATATTTCAGTTTAATAAATTCAATATATATATATATATATATAATAAATATGTAATTTTAACTGTTAGTGGTATATGTTTTATTTGATTTCTAATTGGTATTGTAATGCAATACCAAGAATTTATGTGATAAAAATATTTTGAAATTATACTTAAGATACAACATTGTTTGTGAACAGGAACAGAAGACATTTTTTCTTTTAAAAACATCTAATGAGATATTTATTTCTGTCAATGACATGTTCAAACAATGTAACAAAGGTTAAATATTTGAAAGAATTTTTATAGATTGTGGACGTTGTGGATGGCACATACATTATTTGATAAAGATCTATAAAATACGAAAAAGTACTATTGCAAAATACAATCATATGCACTTTTTATACTTCTAACATACAACCATGTACGGCACATCTTTCATATGGGTGTAGATTTCTACCTTGCTTTTATTTATTATAATACGAATAAAAAGATGATATATGAATATGAATAAGATTGAATTAAATTCAATTTTAATTAAAAACATAATTATTAGTTTCAAATAGTATATTTTATATTTTATTATTATTTTCTAAGTGGACTTAATTTCACAATCACCATTTTGCACGAAAACCAGACATGAATATTAAAAAAAATCAACAACGGATATTAGATGTATCAGCATTAATATTATTCAACTAATCTACAATAACATTAAACACCATATCTTACCTTGTATACACATATTCATCATACCTCAATAACAGTGCACTAAGTAACACCCCAACTGGGTAATTTTGAACTTCATTTCAGTGCACCCAATCTCAAAATTTCATGGATAGTATCTCAACATCCTTGTCATCACAGATGCCGTGCATCCAAAGCCTACACGCAAAAGCACGAAAAAATAGGTCAAAGAATAGACTTGCATCGAACATCGAGAACCTCCACAAAAGTTGCAACCATCGCCATGTCAAGAGCTTGAATGAGCAATGCCGTTTTAGATTTGTCACTTGCAAGGATCGTGGAAAATTCAGAAAACGAACAAACCCAGTTTCGGAGATCGAGTAAGCCGCCGCCGATCGCCGAAATACGTGCAGAGATGGCACGGGGAGCTCACTCAAGAGGTATAGATACAATATCACAACAACGATGCGGCGCTTGACTTTGTGGGCTGATTCAAAAAACACAATACTCTCGGAAGTCAACTCCGCAGCAGTCTCGAGATAGTCACCTATCTGCGGGTAGGTACCCGGGCCGCGCTACTGTAGTTCGATCAGATGGTAACCACTGAAGATGACACGATCTCCAAAAAGGTGCTGGCCACAAGCAGTAAACGATGCGATGTCATGTCCTTGACTGAGAATTAACTGCACGTGCAGGTGCAGTACTGTGTCAAGAGCGATCTCCGAAGCCCGGTTTTGCGGAAGAACTACTAGCTGGTTCTAGCATTAGTTTCCTCTGAAAGAAGAGGCTCCGTTGCGAGCACGATGTCCTGGGAATGCTTCATACAAGGCACACAGTTGTAGGAGATCACTTTGTGGGCATTAATGATTTCCTCTCTGGGTAGTTTGTGTGGGGATACAGATACCCAACCCAAAGAGTGCGAGAATCCAAAGTACATTGAAATGAACAGTACAAATGCTACTGAAGAAAGACATCGTAGAACTCTTCCGTTTTGTTATTTTTGTAGCTAGCACTAGACGACAAAAGCAGAACTGGGAAAATTCCCAACCAAATGCAATCTCCTCTTTCTAAGTATCAGTAACTACTCAAGTCTGCATCCGAAAACTTAAAAATCGACCCTGCATGACCTGCTGACATTCCTACCAACAAACTATGAGATGCTCTATTAATGAGGAAAGATGGAGCGCTCCGATCCAGAATCGAGATGCTTGGTTGTAGCGCGCTAGCCAGAGCCTTCCGAATCTCATCGACTGGGTTCAACACCCTCAACCCTAGCGCGCGCCGATACTGAGAGCAAGTTCTCGAAGATCCACATGCTTCCGCGATGAATGGAAAGTGATCAAGGACGTTCTGTGCTCCCAAATTAGGATATCCTGGCCTCATTGGAATTTACCTTCAGATGATGCATGCAAACCCCCTGGGTGCCGGAAGCATGAGAACTACGGACACAGACATCCTCGATATAATTCGCAAAGATTTCCTTATAAAGCTGGCAGCGCTTTCATTACTCACCACTACATGACCCTCCCCGGCGAATGCATTGACCCTTTGAACATTCGGGAGAAGAGGCCTGGATAGATGCTTAAGGCAATCCCTAGCATTTGACACTGTCATGGCTGGACACTCCCAAGACTCGGAGAGAGAAATTGACCTTTACGTTACTACCTTTCGAATCATCCAGAGTCCCCAACATCAGTGTCGTTGGTGAGATTTGGCTAACGCTTCTACCAAATTCATAGCTCTCTCTCTCTCTCAGCACAACACCCTGCAACCAAGTGCAAATTCTGGTTACTTCAAACCTTAGGTCAAGGAGGACTGGTTGCCAAATTGATATCCATGCGATCCTCCACAGACATCCGAAAGCTCAAGGGATTAAAGACAAATTCACTAGTAGTTGATAACATAAAGTAGTCATAGTCTAGCAGGCAAGTATTTTACCGGTTCGAGGCCGTCATGGTGAAGGGATTTGTCCGCCAGTATTGCTGGCACTAGCTCCGCCTCCGCCCCCACCTCCACTTCCGCCTCCGCTCCTGTTTCCGCTTTCGCCTCCAGATCTCGAATTAGATGGGAATGATCGGAGTGGTCCTAGTGCTCCGGAAAGGCCAAGGGCTTGAAGAGTTTCATAAGTACCTCCTCCGGCCCTAGCCAGTTCCATGAGATGCTCTCTGGAGAGATGTGAAGGGTCTCCTCTTGCAAGATCCATCAGCTGCTCTCGTGTCAACATGTGCTCCCGGTTCGCCTGTCCTTGAGAAAGACTAATTCCTATCCCTAAGGATGATGAAGCTCCTCCCTGGCCCACGGATGGAACCACCATTCCTGCCCCTGCATACCTAGCCAAATCTGAATGCGCGATGGCCAGATCGTTCTGTAGTTGCGCGACTTGCCTCTGCAAGACAGATATAGCGCCCACACATCCGTATACAGGATCCTTCACACGCGCATCCGCCTCGTACGCGAGGGAATTTACCGCATCTTCCCTTTGATGCGTGGGGAGCTCGTTCAGGAGTTTTGTGATATTGCTCGCTCCAAATATCTTGTGAACATTAGCAAACTTGTGGGGCTGGTCAGGTGGAAAGTAGGGCGCAAAAACACACTCCGCTGTACATTTCCGCCGCAGGAACTTGCATGCGGCGCAAGGAGAACTCGAGGACGACGCCATTCCTGGCTACCAGATCCCAAGCTTAGAAAACAAGACTTCTCTACTTCCTCCGTCGCTACGTCAAGATTAACAGATTCTTTAACTTACCGTTGACGTCGAGGCTAGTAATCTACGTCTTATAGATGCCTTCACATATGTCTAGCAACTTCCAGTTAGCACCAGGAACACTTCCACCAGACGCAGAGAAGACCCACAGGCAACAAAATTTCATAACGTGAGATTCCTGGTTCAAGTCTTATTCGAATGCAACTCGTATCCCGAATCACCAGGAAAACCTCGCGAGGGAAGCGAATTCAGGAGAGCACGACAGATCCCGATATATTTCGTCCTTGTCAAACTCATCACTGTTCAGGTGCACTAGAGAGCACTTGACCCAATTAGCTCTGCAAGATTCTGTAACCGAAAACAACACTCCACAGACAACACAGATCCTCTACAGTAACGCACCAACAATTAGTGACCGACACTAGCTAGAACCCAACAAATCATCGGTGGGAAAATCCCCTAAAGCACGGACCTCTCTTCATGGTTGCGGAAAAGGCGTCACAAAATCCATCAATTCGTTCTTGAGCGACGGCGTTCCAGCACCACCCCACTTCCCACGGCGACCCCCCCCTTCCCAAGGCGACTCCCCACTTTCTAAGGACTCCCTGCCAAACAATCACCAAGAAGACCCGGAAAGCCTCCCCCCTGCGCGGGATAGCGCATTCATACTCCCGCCTACATGCTTCCAGAGCCGAATCCCGACCTGGCGGCAACTGGTTTCTCAACCATGCACGAAAAAACCGGGGAAAGATCGTGCTTCCGCCAGATCCGCCGCTGAGAAGACGAAGAAGGCAAAATAAACTAAATAAACCAGGAATTTTTATTTAAAAAAGAGCTCAATCCAATCCGACCCAACCCAACCCAACCCAACCTAGTTTCTAACTGGATACACGCCCACCCATCCTAGTGCGTCAGTTTAAGGTTACACTCCACCCCGCAACAAGCTCAATTTCTCATCTGCCCGCGCCGTCCGTTTCAAACGCACCCCATTTTTTCCCACCGGCGATAAGCCCATCTCTTCCTACGGCGCTGCAGCGTCTAGGAAATTCCCAGCGCCCGAGCAACCGCACGAATGTCCCCGCACCTGTTTACCTGCTTGCCTGCGTGCCTGCCTACCTGACCCCGCCCCGCTTCGCCCTGGCGTCCCACACTTCCGCTGCTGCGCCACGCGGCCGGCCGTCACTCGCTCCATTCCCATGCTCCGATGACTTTCCATCGATAAAAGGTGAATCCAGGATTTCGTGAATGTCGTGCACGGCCTCGGACGCTCTCCTCCAGCGGCTAGACGACTCCGTACGCATCCCTCCCTGCAACTGGAGAGAGTTGTTCATCCGTGATGGCCCAATTACCCCCTTTCTCCACCTCACTCCCTTCCCGTCCTCCCTCCTTTTTCCCGCTTTTTACCTTGTGGCGGGCGGGTTGAAGACGCCGCGATAAAGTGCTGGCGGAGGCGTCACTTCCATACCGCCGAGATGGATGCGGGGCCTTTTGTAGCGGTTGCTTTCGTAGCCCGCTCTATGATCAGCAGCGATGTTGCCCTTTTACACACGGATGGTGCTAGTGGGCGAAGATGGGCGGTTATTCGGCTAATGCCACCTGCGGCTTTTTGGCACGACGCGAGAGTGCTCTCGGAGCTGCAGCATCGCCAAGCTGCGGGTGGCTGACGCTGCAGCTCCGTCATCCCCACGATCTCCTTCCCTCCCTTCCTTCCTCTATCCTTCTGCTTCTTCTTCATCATCCTGGGGGTCGTCTTCTTCTTCGTCTTCTTCTTCTTCTTCCCTTCATCGCCACCTCCTCCTTCCTCTTTCTCCCACACGCGGCGACAGCTTTGCGTGACACACCGCTTGCTCCTTCGTGTTGTGTCGTGTCGTGTTTGTGTTGTGAGAGTGTGTGTTTCACGCGTTCTTCTTCATTTGGGAACCCAAAGCTTGAACCTCTTTTGGAGAAGAAGACTTGCTTTGTGGACAAACACTTACTTCCCCTGGTTTGTTTGATCGTTTGTTTGTTTGTTTGTTTGATTATTTATTTATTTATGTTTGGACTTTGTAACCCTGGCGTAGCATTGGGTGATGTGTCTGTGTTAAAATTAGTTCTTGTGCGGTGTGAGCTGTTGACTGATCAAATTTTGCCTTTAGTGTGGGATTGTAGTATGTAGATGGGGATTTTGTAGATTGTATATGTTTGTTTGACGATGTGTATTTTAGGAAATCGGTTAGAAAGATGAAAGAGACAAAAGACAAAGTAATTGGTTTAGTCTTAGAGAGAATTCTTAATTGATAATATATGGAAATGTTTTATTTTTATTTTGTTTTCATGGGTAAGCATTGAAATATTCTAAATTAAAAACATAGCAAAAACAATAACGTGTTTCCAAATTAAATAACATTATACATATAATAAAATAAGTGAATAAAATTTCAAATAAAAATACCAAAATGAATAAGTTAGAGGTTGAATATTATAATCTTATAAAGAAATAAAAGTGATGAGATGAACATTATCACAGATATCTATATTTATTTGAGTAGAAATCTGTCAGTCCAAACAAATAAGAGTATGCAAACTTGATTTTTATTTTTTTATTTTTTATTTTTTAAATTTATTTTTATTCTTAAATACAATTTAGATCTCTAAGTGTCTTTTGTTGTATCATGTATAATATTGTATGCATGGCTATATGAATTTATTGTAATTTTTTTGTAGATTGAAAAAGTTATTACAAAATTGTTTTACAAGTTATATGTTTGTTTCTTAAGTTTTGTGGTCCTTATAAATGATGCTTACGTAATATATGATTTTTTTATTTTTTTATTTTTAGAATAATAAAATCTAACATTTAAGTGTATAAAATATTTTTTTAACAAAAACATTAAATATATATATGAAGAGTATAATGGAATTTGTGCAATAATAAACTAGACTTGAATCTTATACCAAAGAAATAACTATGGACTTGTATGTATTTTACAATTTTAATAATTTTAATTAATATCAAATAAGATGATGCTGATTTGTGGATTGTATTTAGTAGCTAATATCCTTACAAGTTATACCATGGGCTTAGATTTTTATTATTTAACTTAATATTCAAACATTAAGCTAAAGAACTATTTTTTTATTAAATTTTACAAGATCTTTATTTTGCATAAAGGTGATTAATAAGTTTTTTTAACCATCAATAATATCTTATACTAAAAGAAGAAGACTAACTAGTTATTTGATTGTTATTGAATCCTTCATTGCTACCTTCAAATAATACATTCTACATTCTATCAAGCATAGTATCTACCTTCAATAATATCACTAACTATCACGAGTCTTTATTAAGCTTGTGGTACCAAACATGTTGTATCTAGCCATCTATTTTTTTTAAAAAAACTGTCTCTCTTGAGGTTCTTATTCACAATTGTGACATTGTCCATAGACAATGTAAGTACTTCATTTGGTAATTTTACAAATGACAACTCTTAAGATGAATCTACTAAATATTAATTCTCTATATTTGTAAATATAATTTATTAATTGATTCTATAGTTTTTTTTTTTTTTTTTTTTTTTTTTTTTTTCCTTGATTTATATTATGTTATTGTCAATAATTAGTTTTTGGATTTGATGGATATTATTGATGAATAATAGACATAAGTTTTCATACATTTGATAGAATCTCACATAGCTTCTACATGCATTCACTAATATCATATCCATGCCAATGTATAACATATTCTATTTTATTTTGGCATTGCTTAAAATTCGAGATTTCTTCTATTTTAAACTCTTGGTTGTTATTTATTTCAACAAGAGATGGTAATGATTGCTTTCTTTTTGATATATTGATTGTTGTCTAAGGCCTTATAAGAAATATATGGAATACAAAATGGATCTTTAATGATGGTAGTTATTTTAATTGATATGCCACTATTTTATTTATTTATTTATTTATTTATTTATAATAAATAGATAAATTATTTAATAATTCAACTTATTGTAAGGTTAATTAGTCTTAATATTACATTTTATTACTAAAATTGTTTATAAAATCTTAAAATTGTGCTTTTGGATCTTTATTCTATTTTAATTTTTTTTGGAAGTTAATTAAGTAAATAGAATTGCAACTTAAAAAAAATTATGATAAATATTTAATAATAATTCACAATTTTTTTAAAAAATATTAGAAATTACATGGAGTTTTTGGAATTTTTCAATCTATAAAAATCTGAATTTTTTTAGAATCCAAATAAAAATTTTCTTTTTAAATAATGTATCCCAAAAAATCTACTTGAATTGTAAGAATGGTCCATTTTTCATCTTGTCATATAATCTTTCATCTCTAAGTTTTTATAATATAAGGCAAACATATTGCTCATATTCTTCTATATTCTTAGAATAGATAAGAATGTCAATCAATTTACATATGAAAAAATTATGAAAAAATTCTTAAAATATAGTGTTCATCAAATGCTAAAAAACAACCAGAACATTTATAAGTCCAAAAGACATGATATTGTATTCAAAATAGTCAAACCTAGTCTAAAATACAATCTCTTATTTATATTTTTTTTTAAAACATTATCATATTTCCTAAATTCTTACTTGAAAATACATCAGATACCTAGCTATAAAAAATAAATAAGAAATTGCAACCACAAGGTCTTAACAAGTCTAATAGAATCTTAAATAAACTCCAATAAAACTTTAATAAATTTAATCAAATTTTAATTAAATTCAAAAGAACTTGAAAAAAAATTATTAAAAAATATGAAAAAATCATAATTTAACCTTAAAGAAAAATAATAAAAATCCTAAAAAAATACCAAAATAAAAATTTAAAGTAAATAAAAAAGAATATTTCTAAAATTATAAAAATAAAAATCCTAAATAATCCTAATCAAATCTTAATGTAGCTATAAAATAATCATTATATAAATCCTAATAAAATCCTAAAAAATTCAATATACATCCAAATCATTCAAATAAATTTTGAAAAAACCCTTCTAAAGCCTATACTAACACTCTATTCTTCAATTAGCAAATAAATCTTGGAATTACCATAGGTATGCAATTTTGTGCCTTAGGGTCTGATTTTGACCTTGGTTCACAATTGGTCCTCTTTAGGTATCAATTCACTAATATCTTGAGATGATTTTTGCTAAAAAGTATTTTTAATTCCTTCCCAAAGATTTCTATATCATTTATTTTCTTGATATACTTTGTTTTGTCTTATTTATGTTCATACAAAATAAGCAGAAGTTTTTTTTTTTTTTTTTTTTTTTTTTTTTTTTTAATTTTTTTTGACTTAAAAGACAGTATTAATACTAAAAGTTTTTACTACCTTCGTGTCATTTATTCGTACTTTTTTACTATAACTTTTAACAAGGCTCTTCTATAATATACTTTATATTTCTATCTTTCATCATATTATTGTCTTATAATACAACAATGTATCAAGTTATTAGTTCTTTGTCAATCTATTTTGGTGTAAATCTTCATCTTTACTTAGTAAATTAAGGAATTTTAATATTTAAAGAAAAGAATAAAAATTCTTGATTTTTGGTTTATTAAATCTACAAAAATCTACATTTGTAAGATTTATTTGTTTGTTTTGTTTTGTTTTGTTTGTTTGTTTGTTTGTTTGTTTTTTTTTGTTTTTGTTTTTGTTTTTTTTTGTTTTGTTTTGTTTTTTTTTATTTTTTATAATGAGGATTGGTATACATGTAAAAGATTTTGAATGTCAAATAAAAATCTTTGTAAGATTTTTATTAATTTATTCCTTTGAAGCACCAAGTTCATTTTGCAACAAGTTGTAAATTGGTTTTAATGATAGTTGAGTTCTTTTTTGAAGATTGATTGCATAATCACAAGATTGGTGTTTTAATAAGAAATTAACATTGTTCTTCTAAAATACATCTTGACATGCTTTATATTCTTCTATGATTCTATTTCAACCCTCATTTGAATGAAGACTTGGTGCTTCAAAAATAACAACTATATTTCCATCTTTTGAAGTTTATATAAATGCCTTGGCTTCCACAAATAAAAATGAAGATGGTATTGCAATCATTGGAACTAGATCTTAAAGTGATATTTTGTAATTTTCAAATAATAG